ATAAATTCATGAAATAGTAGTTCAATAAAATTTTGAATGCAAGTCAACAAACACAATGACATGGCCTTTGACCTGTGACCCATCTGGAGAGGGTTAAGCAACTTCCGGTTCATTCCTATGCCGATATTCATACTGCTTGGTAAGTTTTAGCACATGAACAATAGAAAAAGTACAAAGTAATTCAGAGTACTATCTTAATGGAACATGTAGTTCAGATATCAAACACCTTCTCTTCAGAATTCTAAATAAATGTCTCAAGTTTCTTCCCTGTAGTTGAAATTGAACTGAACTTTCTACTGAAATGTTCTTAATTCAACTTAAATGTTATCTAACACAGCCAGACATAGGTTAGTTAGGCTGTTCTTAAATTTTCTTGAGTTTTTAAAAGCCATTTCTGATGGTAGTGATTTTTAACATTCTAATGGCCCTCTCTCAAACATGAGGCTACAGTTTCCATCCAGCTACTCTGAGATATTCGGTACAAGTGAAAATTAATTTTGTCTTTCCAGACTGTTAATAAATTCACTGACAATGAAATACAACTTACCATAACATTTCCCAGCACATACTGGAGTAGAATAACATGGTAGTGCCTGTAGATGGTTATCATGTTGAAATATGAGGTGGTATTGGAGACAGATGAGTCACACCAGCTTTACTGATCTCCATCATAACTCAATAGCAACTTTAAATTAACTTTTACTTTTTAAGTTCTCACTTTATTTAACTTATTTCTAGACTACTTGTAGGAAAGAATCCATGACCAATAAAACAACTCAAAAGTATCTCAATTTGTGAAAAGAAAGATTCCATGTTTGGGCACCAGTGTAACATGTCAACCAACCATGTTATCAATGTAGCAATCAACCACATTACTATCAGTAACTTACTGATTTATTGAACATAATAAAGTTTAATAAGTCAAAGACATTACAAAAATCAGTGCATGGCAAGGACTTTGTAACTATGTACTTAATTCTCTAACAAACATTCAAAGATGAAACAACAATGATGTCAATATCAAATCACTTAAATCAACATCAATAACAGAGCAGGAAAAAAAAAAGAGAGCCAGAAGAAAAAAACCCAATTAAACACTTCTCAAAATATTATTACATCAAAATAATTATAAGGTAATAATATATTTCTTGACTTCTCTTGTCAGTCTCACTTAACTTACATCTGAAAATATTATTACCAACAAGAATATCTACTGATGGAACAATACATTATAATCTTTAGATGCAATAATGTAAAAAAAGTGTATTTAATTAGCTATATTCATAATCAGCTTGATTTTTAGTTTTGATCCAAGTACATAGTTTGCTCCAATTAAAAGTTATTAAGATGGTAAACTTTTGAAAGTTTCTGCTAGACCATGGCATTACATATCAAATGACAAAACCATGGCATTACATATCAGACAACTACGGATTCATTTTATATAATCATACATGAATCCAGTAACTATACATCACTACTTGGGAAACCTCACATCAGTTTCTTAAAAAAAGAAAAACTAAAAAAAAATCAACTTGCTTAATATTGAATATATACTAGAAGTAGAATTCAGATGAGTTATATTTCTTAAATATAGTAAAAAAATAGCTGAACTAAACAATAGAAAGAGAAAATACATGAATGATAAAGAATACTGTAACTAGAATTAAATAGAAGTTGTTACCTCACATTGTGTTCTGTTGTACTGTAAAACTCACAAAGCAAATATTATATGTCCAACAAATTACCAACCTTAATGTTCAAAATACAAGTGCTCTGTCAGTTCCCACGTAAAGAAGCAGCCTAGATTTTAAGCACTTGTATGTTGAACAATAGTTAATTAAAACTTAGTACTAAATGAACATAGCATCTTACTAACCGGAGCATGATTTTAAATGATTTGAAAATCAAATTACAAATTGCTCTCTCTCTCTCTCTGTGTGTGTGTGTGTGTGTGTGTGTGTGTGTGTGTGTGTATATATATATATATATATATATATAAACACACACAATATAAAATTTGAACAAATGTTTTACAAAATTTAGGAGGAGGGGAAAATACAATCATGGTTTCAGGTTCTGGCAATATTGCTGTATAACTATTGATTTAGTCTATTTATCGAGATAGTACTATTATTGTATGATTATTTGATTAATAACAAAATGTTAGTACTTTTATTTGGATTAGTAATTAACAGTGAATACTAAGTCCAAGATAACCACCTCTTTTACTTTAGCATTATTACCTTAAAAAAATCAAATAATGTGGTTACCAAACTAATAGTAATAGTAATATTTGGTTCAATTTAAGGAGGGGGGGGGGGAGAAGAGATTATCCCAACTTCAAAAATTAGTGTCAGAAACTTGAGAAAGTTAATGTACGATAGGCTTAGTTTACTGGTGTGAGCAGTAAAAACTGAGGCTAGTCTTAAAAGTTACAGTGCTTAAACTTGCTCAGCAAATTGCTATAAAGAATAATGTATGTAAACTAGAAAAACTATTTATAATCTCTTGATCTTGAAGGTGAACAAGTTATAAATACACCTATAAATTACTAAAGCAAGTTAGTTATAAGGCATTATTACTATTACAAGATAGTATTATTAATATTAGTAAAAATATTATTAACATTACTGCTATGTCACAACAGTCTAGCTTCCAGTCTAATGACGTAATGTCGTAACACACGAACGATCAGAAACAACTACATAGTGATATATATAACTTGTTTTAATTATAGTTAAAATTAACTGACATTTTTACTTTTATAACATTGCTTACTCAGACGGAGGTAGATCAGTCGAATATAGTTCTATTCTAGTGTCCGCAAGCAAAATGGCCTTCATTCCTCGAAAACAAAGCCGAAAATCACATTCACAACATTCTAGGATGTATACTGGTTTACTACCGAAGGAAGAACCGTCTTTCTTATTATAATTTGGGGACATATTTGAAGCAAAATTATATTAAAACATTTCAGCTATCTTAACAAACGAAGAAAAATAATTCTGTATCTTTTCCGTGCGTTCCAGAAATATGACAAAAACACCAATAGCTCTATTCCTAGTACTCGTACTTGTTACTCAAGCCAGCTGACAGAGACAGCTAGCTGTTAATAATGCCCCGTTTTGTTACGTTCATTTCTATTGGTAGATGAAATACCCACGCTTGGGATATTTAAATAGTGACGAAAAATTAGAAATAATAACCAATCGTAACAAAATAACGCTTATCACGATGATAAATTTTAAAATTTCGATTAGCTTGTTTGTTGAATTTTCGTGCAAAGCTTCTGGAGGGTTATCTTCGCTACTGTCCCTGATTTTGAAGTGATAGACTAAATGGGAAGGCAACTGTTAAACACTACCCACCGTCAACTCTTGGAGTATTTTACCAATAAATAGTGAGTTGGGATTGACTGCCACATTATTGATGTGAACAGCAATTTGACATAAAGTTCCAGCAAAAGGAAAATTGGAGGTTACTCTCAATAAAGGAAACTTCTCTACCTCTCTTGATATGTCGGTAACTGACATCGGGGAAGAATGCATATCGTGAACTGACTTTTACTTAGGCTAGCTTCAAATAGTTTTATAATCTTTAACCAGGAAATCCCTGAATCTTATATAAAAATAGGTTTACATTGGTAAATAAAAACACCATATAGATATCATACACTCTACCATTATACAAACCTAGCTTTTATTTATTTCGGGAACACCTACCTACCAGGCCCCCAGTGGTACAGCGATATGTCTGCGGACTTACAACACTAGAATCCGGGTATCGATACCCGTGGTGGACAGAGCACAAATAGCCCATTGTGTAGCTCTGTGCTTAATTATAAACTAACTAACCTACCTTCCAGAACTTTTCCGTGACTTGGATAATACTTTTTGACTGCGTATATTACTGTGTGATATTTATTGTGCTTTACATAACAAATGAAACCATAATGTGGTTCGAACAACATTACATACTCTTATTTATGGAATGCTCCTCGCAAATACTTTTTTTACCTTCATTTTACTCATTAGATTTTACCCTCACTCATGAAAATTCTCCAAAATTCTTTTATTTCTTAAGCCCGATAACCTTTCTTGACTAGCGAAATCTTACTGACATATCATTCTTAGCAGTGTTTTCAGCAAGATATTTTGGCATATTTTAGTCTCTTAGCTCCACATTTTTTATTTCAGATAACAATTTCCTTCCCGATTTTCAAGTTGGGTTTCAGTCTCGACTTTTCACTCTGGACCAGCTTCTCAGTTTGTCTGATGTTATCGCCAATTATTTCAATATCACTTGTACATCTTACCCCTTGTTTTTTAATTTTGAGAGAGTATTTGATACCGTTTGTCATCGTGGATTGATTTATAAACGTCGGTCCATGAAATTATCTATTACTAACATTCAACTTACAACTTTTTTTCTTTTTTGATCACTGTGCCCTCATATAACTGGAGAACACATTATTTCCACCCTTCAACATTTCTGCAGATGTTCCACAGGGTTCTGTTTTATCACTTTCACTTTATTACTCCAGAGTGCAGATATACCACAACCTGACTATCCTGTCCACCTCTTTCAGTATACTGATGACACAGTCGTATTTGCTAATTGCCCAAACATGATCACTCTTATTCTTAAACTGGTTCTTCAAGAAGCTATTAATCGTTTTCTCCGATGATATTGTTACGACAGCGGGGGTCACATGACCCTAGTAACACGTCATATTCTCGAAGATTCGTGAATGCTCGAATGTTTACTAGATATGTGATATTCATGTATATAAGACCGCCAAGAAGTGACGGCAACAATGGAATGTAATTGAATTAGAG